CAAAATCAATGTTGAAGTACAGCGCTGTCTATGATAGTATTATACAATCCTTACTCAAATTTATGCACCAACCACTAAAGCTAGTGTTAAAGAAATTGAAAAATTCTATCAATGTATTCATTCAGAAACTGATCAAGCATGCAATCAAGATGTATTGATAATTATTGACAATTGGAATGCAAACATTGAAAATAAACAGGAAGGAACAGTAATTGGAAAATATTGACATGGGGACAAAAATGAAGGTGGCAATCACATGATAAAAATTTGCAAGACCAATGACTTGCCCTTAGCAATACTTTTTCAACAACACAAAAGGCGACCACCTATACACATGGACTTCTCCAGATAGAATACACAAAATCAAATTGACGATATCTGTGAAAGAGAAGATGGGGAAGCCGAATATCATCAGCTAAAACCAGGCCAGGGCCTCACTGTGGAACAGACCATCAATAGTTCATATGTAAATTCAGGTTAAAGGTGAAGAAAAGTAAAAGAAGTTTACAAGAGCCAAAATACGACAATGAGTCTATTCCACCTGAATCTGAAGAACATTGCAAGAACAGATTTGATGCATTGAGCACTAATGACAGAAGACCTGATGAGCTGTGGGAGGCTATTAAGAACATCATTCATGAAGAAAGTAAAAGGTCATTAAGGAGGCGGGAAAGAAAGAAAACATCACAATGGAGATTCTTAACTTTACTTTTTAATAGTAGAGTCAGTAAAACAAATGGAAGAAAGGATGAAGTCAAAGAACTGAATAGAAAATTTCAAAGGGCAGCTGTAAAGGCAACATAAAATATTAGAATAAAATGTGCAAAGACGTCAAGTTAGAAAATCCAAAAGGAAGAAAGTTCTTAGCATATCTGAAACTGAAACAACTGAGGAAAAAACTCAATAGTTGCAATATTAAAATATTCTATGGGCAAAATATTGAATGATACTGGAAACATCAAAAGATAAAAAGAATACAGAGTCACTGTATCAGAAGGAACTAGTCAGCATTTCACTATTTCAGGAGCAATAACCAATTACTATTGGAAGCAAT